CCCTCCCTCCCTCCCTCCCTCCCTGAAGAGCCGGCCCCCAGCAGCGCCCCCGTCGTGGAGATAATCGAGCAGCCCAAGCAGCGAGGGATGCGCTTCCGCTACCAGTGCGAGGGCCGCTTGGCCGGCTCCATCCCCGGGGAGCGCAGCACCGACACCACCAAGACCCACCCCACCATCAAGGTCAGTCTTCCGTGGTCCTGGGGAAGAGAGGCACCGTCTCTTCCTCGCCTGCCCAGAAAGACACTGATGTCCCAGGTCCCCTCTGATGCTGCCGAACGGAAACTGGCTGTGATGTCCCCCCATGTTTGGGGTGGTGGAGAACGTCCTGGAAGCCCTTTCCATCATCCAGCCAGGGCGGGGGGGGGGGAAGCACACTTACAGTCTGGCCGTGCTAACCATGCCAGTGCAGATGGGGCAGCTGTTTTGTGACTCTGCCCCCACGAAACCACTGCCCCCCCTTTTACCAACCAGACTGTGGGGAAGGGAGAGGAGGTGCAACCCCCAGATGCGTCTGGCCGGCCTTTGTCTCACCCTTTCCATCTTCCGCTCCCAGATTCACAACTACCAGGGTCCTGGGAAGGTCCGCATCTCTCTGGTGACCAAGGAGGCCCCCCACCGGCCTCACCCCCACGACCTGGTGGGGAAGGATTGCAAAGAAGGCTACTACGAGGCCGAGTTGTCTCCGGAACGCTCCATTCACAGGCAAGTCCTGGGGCTTTGCACCTTTTCTCTGGGCGAGGAGGAGGAGGAATTGGGGAGGAAGAAATGGGAAGTCTCTTGGCCTCTCTTCCTCTCGAGTGGGGCACTCACCCCGCCTTTCCTGCGCTTCTCCCCAGCTTCCAGAACCTGGGCATCCAGTGCGTGCGGAAACGGGATTTGGACAAGGCCGTGGCCAAGCGGATTGAGACCGGGAACAACCCGTACAATGGTAAAGAAGGCTGAGCCAATTGGCGGGGGCGGAATTGCCCTAAAAATGTGGGAAGCTGCCGCGTGGCCCCTCCAGTCTTTGCCCCGGAGGGACCAATATTTCCTGCTCTGGCTGGCAGCTGCGAAGGTTCCTTCCCATAACTTCTTTTTCCCGTGGGAGGTGCCAAGCATCAAATCCAGCTTTTTTTTTTTAACACCCTATTAGCCAAAGAAATATGAACCGTGTAGGCCGCCTTTTCTCCAGCTCTCTGATTTCAGCGTTGTGCCCCCATTTGGCATCTGATCTCATCGAAGGGAACATTGAAATAGAACAAACAGGTCAAAAAAAGGGAAAAGAAGAAATAGAAAAGAAGCTTGGAAATTTATATCATAGACCAGTGTTTCTCAACCTTGGCGACTTTC